AGCTTACTTTTCTTCACATTCTGTCACTGAGTTGAAATAATGCTTGGTAGTAGTGACAGAATATTTAAGTGTATAAAGATATCATACATATCTTGGTAGTTGGTTGCTTTGTCCTTCTACTGTCTTCTAGGATTTATGAGCCAGGAAATTTTAAAAGGAGTTTTAGATTCCAGGACTAATAGTGGTGATTGATGGAACACCTTTTTGACCAGTTCAGAAATGAGGCACATAATTTGAGGCTAGCTGGAAGAAAAATGTATTTGAGACTTATAGAGAAACATTGTGTCAAAATGATCTGCATATCTGTCTCCACGTTCTATGAAATTGTTACAATAGGAAACCTGATGAGCAACAGATTTGTGAGTTTATGTACAGATGAGTAAGAAAATGCTATTTGCCAAAAGTCAGGTAAACTCTGAAACGTGTCACCAACTTGAGGTATGTGGTATGGCAGGCTATTTGATCAGACAAAGATAATGGGATCAGTGCAAAAGTATACTTAAGTATACTTGCTTGGCCAAGCATTACACTTGAGGTGTTCTGGTGGAAAGTAAGATTTGTTGCAGAAGCAGCATGAAGCTAAGCTCCCTGCTAGGATTACCTTTTCCCAGATGCTTTCTGAGAATAACTCTGGACCTGAGGGTTTAGGGCTTTGCATATGATTACTTTGAGTGAAATCTTGGATACTATAATAATTTAATTCCAATTTTAATTCCTGGGGTGCTGCCACAGAACATTTCAGAACCAAAGTAAAATTCTTCACTCAGAGCTGCTAGTTTTGTGTCTGAAGGTTTTGGTGAAAACTGGGATAGCTCTGCTAGCAGACAGCTCCTTTAAAGTTTTGGAGATGGTAATGGACAGCAAGAATCTGTTTGAAAGAACTGTTATTTTGACAGAGTGACAAGAGTTCCTCAGAGGAGTTAATATTTGTCTTCTAGTTCCTTACTTCCAGACGTTCAGTGTCATCAGTAAAACTTATTAAAATGGTCTTGAAAATACTAGAGATGCATCCTTGTATTCCTAAGAGACCTTTTATGTAATCACATTGTCATTATGTAAAGTGCACTCCAGGCCTCCATTTATTTTTTGGGGATATTCTCTGTGGATCACTTCCTTCAAAAATGATTTAGGAATATAAAGAGGNAGACAGACACAGACTGCATACTTCCATCACATTTCTTGAAGGCACATTAATTTCCAGGAGAAGGAAGGAAGCTATGCACCTCAGGTGTTTCCAAAGGGTTTTTCCCTAGTATCCCAGCACTACTGTCAAACTCCCACTTTGTGAAAATAATCAAAGGGTCAAGTATTTTCATAGCAGCACATTTCTAAGTGCATTACATCATGTATTTCCATCTCTGTGAAACGAAGAACAAGACCTTACCTCCAAAAAGTAAGGGACTCTCCCCTAGGGAGGAGGCTCTCCTGCCTGCTCAAAGAGGATGCTGTTTCAAAAGATGCATAAGCATCACTTTTCCAAAAGCCACTTGCAGCAAATGCAATTTCATAAATATTGTGCGTTTCATGCCATAGAGCAATTGCCAAATGTATGAAGATGGTTTGCTCTTTGACTGATCACATCTGAAGCTCCTTACCAGCATAATCCTGAGAAGGATACTGCTTGCCAGCTGTAGCGAGAACCATGCTGAAGGACAAGGAAGGTTTTGCATTTTGTCCTTAATTCTGTGTTCTTCATAATGTTAAAAAAGGATGGTGCATGTTTGGGATGGATAGATCCAGCTAGTGGTGTGTTTTGGTGTTGTGTTGTGTGCAGTATATGAACATATGGAGCTGGATATACTGACTAAGGCTTCTTGAAGAACTGCTATAGATGAAGTAGTCCCCTGTGAAACTAATGCAAGAAGGACTGATATATTAGTTAGTTACATTGTTATACCAGAGATTTCCTGTAACAGAGTTCTATCTGAACTTGGCCCTTTTTACAGCATTTTAAACCCATTGCATCTTCCTACGCTTGTAAATACTTTAATATAATAATGTCCTTATCTCAGTGAAGCAGGATCAACTAACAGAATTGTTGGCTGTACTGTATCTTAGTAGTCTGCTAGAAATACAACTTCAGTAAGCATCAAAACAATTTTGTCTACTTTGGGATTTTCCCACACTGGGAACCTGACGGTTAACCTTTTGGCCACCCAGCATGAAAACAGAATTGTGCTACTTTTATCTACATGGGAGCATATTAAATAAGCCTGAAGTCAAATATAAACGAAGGAAGTGAGGAACAGCGTTGCTTTGAAAACCTTTGTATTTTAATAATTTGCACAGATTCTCATTGATGGAAGACAGATTACTTTGCAAACAAAAATTCAAAGAAAGTTACTCACTTGAAATAAAGATTAAAATACTGTAGCAAACATATTTTTGACTGCAAGCAAAATGTACCTTTAGTAGTAAATGTTGGCTTCTTTAGCTGAAATAGACTCTCCTTTATCTCAGTTGGAAAAAGCAAGAGAACACTGATTTGCCTTGGAATAAAGTTGTGAGATTTTATGTGATACTGCTGGAGCTTTTTGCCTCACATGCACACACAGAATGTATATTTTTAATTATTTGTTCTGTAAAACATTTTGCATTTTTTGTAGATATTCTCAGAATCTGGGATTATTATTCTGGGTTTCGACAATGGATTCTCGTAGATTACTTCTGCAGAGCTTGTAGGCATCAAATTTTTAATTTCCAAAAAATTGTATATCTGGTATTTAAGCTTATCTCTATGAGAAAACTAGATCTTTTGTCACAGAATAAAACTGAATTATTACTAATGTTACATAAGACTCACACTCAACAACATTTCTTTTGTGTTTTTTAATAAAAAAGAGTAATGAGGTACTGCTTTATCTTCTGCACTGTACTCCCAGTGAATTTGGGACATATCATTGCCTTTTTTTATATTTTCAAATAGTTCAGTGTCATAACTGCTGCAAAATTTTAGCTATTTCAGTGTCAAGGGCTTGTACCCTTGCATTGTGTTATGACAATGTAAAGTTATTGCAGGGGTTTCGCTGGAAAGCCACTGGAAGGCCATACAAGTTAATTCATGTTATACCAGATTCTGAAAGGAGATGTTTCTAAGGTAAGACAACCAGGAAAGTGAACATGGGACATGGAACCAGAAATAGAGATTAGCCTGTGCTTTAAGAAACTTAAAAGAGTACATGGAGACCTTTGGTGAGAACACCAGATTTTCAGGGCATTTTGACTTGTCTCTGTTGATAGACACAGTACATGAATGATGAATCCAAACTGGAAATGAGTTTTGAATGCTGAATTTGCTTGATAAAAAGTTAAGATTTTCTTCACTCATGTTTTTGTTGTGAATAGAGGGAGAAAATACTGAGGAATGTCATTCTGAAGAGGTTCTCTAAGGATGCCTTCAAAGTCAATTGACTTAAAAATGTCAATTGTCCATAACAAATACCTTCATTTAAAGGACTACACATTGTGATGGTGTTATTACAACAAGGATTCAGGTGGCCCTCTTTAAATACAAAACTTGCAGAAAAGAGTTTTTAGTAATTATATTAAGTCATTGAAACATGTTAGTGAGAAAGCATTATCATCATATTTTCATTTCCATAATTAATTTGAAATTTTTGAGGCCTTTCCCAGATATTTTAGGCTATTTGTGATATGTTTGTAGCATAGATTGAAGACAACACATCCAATGAAAGAATTATACTCTCCCTTAATACAAGTCCCATGCCAAATTACTGTTTGATCTTCATTTTAATTTTTACTTACCTTGCTTCAATAAAAAATGTTTCCCTCTGTTTCCGTTGCCTGAGTGTGATTTATATATGTGTTGAATCTATTTAATCTAATTTAGAAAAGGCTTTAAAATATGCTCCATGGGAGAATTAGGTTTGTGTAAACACAATTCTGTGTTAGGGAACAGCAGGAAAATAGGCCAAGATAATTTTCCTCTTCAGTTGATTTAAACACCCAAAACTGTGCCAAAACACCAAAGGTGCTGTGTTCTCTCTGCAGTCCCTCTGCAAGAGTATGGCACAGGAGGATGAGGTGAAATGTGGAGCAACAAGGTACCAGAGTTTGAGGAAGGAAGGGCAGAAGGATGATAACCATTACGTTGTTTGATTATAACTGTTTGATTACAACTTAAATTTTTTTGAGAATAGGGAAAAGAGAATATATTGTTCATGAGTTCTAATAAGCTTCAAACTTGCCCCTTTTTGTTTACTTCTTGAGTTGTGAAGTTGAAAGGATGGAAAGTTTGTCTACCAGCTAGATTCTTGGTTTCAGCTGTGGACTTTTTCCCCCTGTATTTCTAATAACAAAGCAGGTCAGTGTACTTGTGCAGATAAACAAGAGATAAGCAGCTATTCCTAAAATTAGGGTAAAACTGCTATTAGGAGATTTGTGACTTTCTGAGTGATTGAAATGGGCGTGTCTGTTTTTTAAAAGAGAACTGTAACATGATACAACATTGTAGAAATTAATAAGCATGATCACCAAGAGGATTGGTACACATGTAGCATAAAAAAATCTACCTCCATTTGTTTGTCAGAGAGATGTGCTTTCATGAAAGTTTTTGAAAATACTTGCTAATCACAGAGATTTAGTCTGGATAAGCTCTTGAAATTTCAAATACAAATTGGAAACCTAGTGAATCCTGTTCACTCCTTCACCAACAGTACCTTCCCTGAGGTATTCAACATCTATCTACTTTCTTTGTCTTGTTCACAGAATCATAGAATGATTTGGAAGGGACTTTAAAGATTATCTATTTCCCAACTCCCCCTCCATGGACAGGGACACCTTCCACTAGACCAGATTTCTCAGAGCCCTATCTAACCTGGCCTGGAACACTTCCAGGGCATCCACAGCTTCTCTGGGCAACCTGTGCCAGGGTCTGGACACCATTCTTTTCTTCACAGTAAAGAATTTCTTGCTAGCATCTGATCTTACTCTGCCCTCTTTCAGTTTAAAGCCATTCCCCGTTGTCCCGTCTCTACTTGCCCATGTGAAAAGTCCCTCTCCAGCTCTCATGCAGACCCCCTGTAGGTCCTGGTAAGGTGCTCTAGGGTCTCCCTGGAATCCTTCAGTCTGAGCAATTCTCTCAGCCTTTCCTCACTGAAGCTGTGCCCATTGTGTCCATTGCTACAGTAAGATTTCCCAAGATGGGCATAAATATGAAATAAATCAATCGAGCAATTGGCATCACTAAGATTTTCACACTTGCCTCACTGCATTATCATTTGCAGATGTTGGGGAAAACAGATGATGTTTCATTGTTATGTGTTGAGATGAATTTCTTAAATGAATGCTTGAAGAAGTGCAAATTGAGGTAATTCTTTAGAATGTCCTGGTTTTCAATTAGAATATTTATTACTTTCCAGTAATTATGGCTTTTACACAAGAGAAAATGTTCTGTATGATACATAAATTATTAACCATAATAGAAGCACTAAAGCTCTGACAAGAAATTTGGATAAAAAATAATATTATTTCCAAAGAAAGTTTTATTTGTCAGTTTGCTAATTGTGTGCCTGGAGTCTTTTGTAGCCAAACTTTGCTTGTTTTTGGACATTTAGTGTATGGACCACTGATCCAATACATATTAAGCCTTGGTTACCTTTATTTAAATTCATGTTGGAGCAATAGCAGAAATAAGTTGTTTTGATTCTTTCAGATAAGACCACCAAATTCAAAATAAAGTGGTGTTTTCACTCCTTGGAATAAAATAATGCTTAAGCTCACAGTTGTCCTTCACTTGAAGTAGGTGGAGCTTGCTGCTGGAACAGGTGGTATTTTATTTTTTTATAATCTGTAAGCTCCTATGGCCTAGGTTTTGAAACAAATAAGTCTTTATTAAATATTTATATCTTTTATTAAATAACTCTTATCCAGGCATCTATCTAGCTTTAAAATAACACCACCAAAAGAAAAGTTCTCTGTCAGACCAGTTCCCTCATGCAGTTTGACGCTCAGAAAAGTGAACATAAAGCACCAGAGCAAGATCATGAGGTATTGGTATTTTAGGGAAGTATCCTTATGGGGGCAGGCTGTATTCATATCAGCTTACAATGCTTTTGAGCCAGAGCATGAAATATTGGCATTGCTACATAGTCAGGGGGAAACTAGATTGAAAAATCTAGGCAGAAATTAAGTCTTTGCAGACCTGAGTACTGACATGCATAAATTTTAAGCATGTGTTTAAAATTCCATGTTTCCAGCATGTTACTTGTCGCAGCATAGAGTCCTTAAGATAATGTTGAAGTATGTGTCTGAGAATTCAGCAAATGTTTTTCTGAGCATCTCAAGCAAAATATTAAGCAGTGGTACCTGAGACAGTGAGAATTTCTTGAGAGCAAGGAATCTCAACATGTTCTCTAAATACTGACAGTGATCAAAACTAAAATAAGATTTGAGAGATACATTATCTAGAGATTTCCAAGACTGTGTATGATAGATTATGACTGATAACGATTATACATAGTGTGTGTAATATGGCCTTGAAGCTGGTTCTTTTCTGAAATTTGACTTTGCAGGAATACTGTTTTATTACTTGTGTTTACAACCTGACTGTATTCATCAGCATGTTTGTAATAGTGATAAAATAACATACGTATAAAAAAAAAAATAGATTATTAAACTTCAAATACAGGGATAATCAGTTGTGTCACTACAAGTTCTATCAAAACAACTGAGTTATGTACTTCCCACATGAAGGCATAGCTTGAATGCCATTGGACTGCTGAAGGATCAGTAAGACCAAAATATTCAAACAGTGAGATAGGACAGAAATATTTTGTCTTGCATGTGAGTATGTTAGAAAAGAATTCTGCTTCTTTCTGTCATTTTAAGATGACTTTGTAGGTCTGGCTGATGGACTATTTTTTTCCTCCCCACATTTAATTGTTAATCATTTGAAAATTATAAGAAACATGAAGTCCTGGTTTAGAGCTGCTTCTCAGGCAGAAGTGCAGAATATTTGTAGAGCAGTCTACTGAAAATTAAATTATTGTATTGACCTTTCTCTTAATCTTACTTTCCATGACAGGTTCGTCTGTTGAACCAAAACATTTTCACACATGGAGCAATGATTTTGAATGTACTAGAGACAGTCCAGAAAGAGAAGTACACAGTCAATAGTCTTTTGTCCTTATAGAAGGCTGGCTAAAATGTCCTAGATAAGGTATTAAGTAGTAAGACTCCCCTATAAAACATAATTTTTTTTCCAAATAGAATGTGTTTGACCTCTTCTAGACACATTCATCTTTGGTGTTTCTCTTCGCCAAATCTAATTTAACCCCCTACAACTGAGGCCATAACATTTTGTTTGACTGCAGTGAGACTACTGTTTAACTTTTTAAGGATGCTGTTTGAAAAGCTGAAGAAAAGTGAGCCCAGATCTTTGACTACTCAGTATTGTAGTATTGCTGAAATCTGTAGTCTATTCTTAGAATGGTTTTGGAAAACCGATTTTTGTTTGTATTTGAGGACAGTTATCTCTTAGTGGACAGCCACTGTAGACATCTTCCAACTTATGTTTGGGTATAGATGCCTCTCTGAAAAATAAAATGCATTTGCCTGTTTCCTTAGTTGGTAAAAGAAAACATAATATGAGTTAAATTGTGTGTTCCTTAGTTACACAAATGGAGAATTTTAGGAATGCTGTATTAAATGACAGGAATAATGAGCAATTCAGAGTTTTCATTGATAAGATGCTGCATTCCTATTTTAACATAATGGGAGAAGTTACCTATATGATCACTCCTCCTTCTAGAAAACAGTTTGGGTTTGGTTTTTTAATCTCTGAAAAAATGTTGATACTTACATTTTCTTCAGGATAATGATTCCACAGAGGAGCTTGCTTCATTATGGTCTAAAAGGAGTTTTCAGATCGTAGTAGCATATTTTCTATTAAAGGTTTGGCAGTGCAACAGAAAGATGTGAGAATTTAGAACATTACAGTTTTGTACTACCAAGTTTACATTTAAATCAGCTGGATGGGAAATATACCAGAAACTCCTGACGTAGACTCTCATGATATGTGAGCTTAATGCTATATTATACTTTTGTAACTCTGGAATTATAATTATGCTCTTTTCTTCTTGGGTTACCCCAGGTATTGTAGCTTTACACTGCAGTATATTATGGAGGCCTATTACTATCAACAGCTGCACTCTATATTAAGAAGCAGTATAGAAAAAGTATTACTCTGTTCTCTTCTGGAATTATCAGAAAACTTAAATAGTTTCGGTAGAGTTGCTTGAAGTCTGCCTGCTGAAGTTACAATGACTTCCTTGAGTTAAAGTTGCCCTTTCTTCTATGATTCAGGAGCTGAAATTCTCTTTTTTTGAATCTTTTCTTCTGAGGTTGGCTAGTACTGCCAATTTCAATACACAGAGATTGTTGCAAAAGTTGTAGAAGATTGAAAATTATAGCCGTGGAAATCCCAATTGTAATTTCATCTCTTACCATAGAAAAGTACTTGGATGTGTTTGACTTTATGAATTATCACTTCTATAGTTATAGTTCCTTTATGGTGGATGTGGCATTTCTAAATCAGAACCTTTTTCATAGATTAAAACTGCATCTTTCTGTCTTTGAAGGTTTCAGAGCACAAATCAGACCTTGAAGATTTACACCTTTATGCAACTCCACGGGAACAGCGGTTTCGTAGGTTTGCCAGTCTGGAATTTGAAGGACAGCTGTACATGACTCCATATGACTTCATCCAGTCTGTTACAAGTGATGAACCCAAACGTAAGCAGGAGTTTTATAATGCTAAAACTGCTAGGGAAAATGCCCATGGTGCATGTTATTTTTCCCTTTTGCTTTTGATTCCTACTTCTGGTTCTGATTGTAGTAAAAAGGTACTGCATCTTCAGAATTTTGTGTCCAAATGCATAAAAACCTGATTGTTACTAGACTGTAAACATCTGTATGCTAGTTAAACATTCTTGTCTTAGAGGTTGCAAAAGCTCAACAGCCAAGAAAGATGGCAAGTTAATTTGTGCCGTTTGCATTGACACAGTTTCTTTCTGAGCAGGCCTGTATTGCTGTAAAACTCTTGCTTCCTCTTCTGTATAGTTTCTCTGTAAGCAAGCAACATATGTGTCCTCTAAAAGACTTAAGATATAACTTGTAACTATATCATGGCTCTCTAAATCACATGCTTTGAGTAAGAGTTTTAGTCCCTCAGGGGATCAACTTTCTGTGCTTAAACATTGCCAGTGTTAGTACTATGTGTTAATTAATGAAAAATTAACTATCAACTTTAGGTCGTTTATTGTAAAATCTTTGCTTTAAATATCAAAGAGTGACTAAATAGTAAGGTGATCCCTTTCTGCTGTAGTTTGATTTCCTGGCCCTCAGGCTTACAGTGCATTGGTAGCAGCACACAGCTTCTGAGGAACGGGAATATCTTTGCTCAGGTGTGACTTGTATAATCACTCACCTTAGGTTTTCCTTTCTTCAGTCTATACCAAAAAGCTAGTATAGAGAATAGTCAAAAGCAGTGCTAAAACAATCAGAGGAAGTTTAAAATTCTGTGCAGATGTTGGATTTTTTTCCCCTTTGTTCTCTTAATAGTAATGAAACAAGGAAAGAATTCAGCCATGGCACATCAGTGATCAAAACTTCTGTAACTTCTGAATAAAGATATAATCTCATTGTAACAGTGAAGATAGAGCTTAGATGGTGAAAACTTGCAAAACTTTGAAACTCTTACCAGAAAGCAAATCTTTTTTTTTTTTTTTTTGCTTTGCAGTTAAAAGAGAGGAAGCAGATTGCTTATCACACAAGTTAATACAAATACAAATCAGCATTTTTTATCTATTTCCTCTGCTCAGACCTTCAATTCTTCCCTTTTTTGTTAGTGTGGAGTTGGGTTTCACTGTGTATGAAGCACTTGTGCCAGATATACTGGACATCATTAAAATATTTTGGTTTAACTCTCTTTTATGACAGTTTGATTGGCTAGACCACACTATATATATGGTTTGCTATTAAAATTTTTCTATGCTAATGAAGTTTCTGCTTTCTCCTCTTGCAAAGCAAGTATTCAGATTTTATAAACAAAAGCAAACCAAAAATCATGAAGCTCGTAAGGACATTCTGTTTATCTCATGGAAGAGCAGAAGAGATCTGGAGTTGAACAGTCAGGCACCCTTCTGAATTCAGTGTAGCAAACCTTGTTTCTGTCAAAATCTTTTCTGATCATCCAATTCACCTCTGAGACCAAAAGCAAAACTAACCTGGGTGTCTTTTATGTTTCATGGTATCAGAGATGAAATGGCTGGCATAACTATTTTAAGGGATTTTAACTAAGTAGAAGTGGATCACTTTATTCTAGTGCAGGTAATATTGTCTGGGACATGGGGACAGAAGGCTGACAAATAGGAAGTAATAGCTGAAAGAGATGACCCACTGATGACCATATCGAGCTTCTAATCTCTGACTATGGTAATTTTAACCTCTGTACTGCAGCATTGCCGAAGTACCACTTTGTCTTCTTGGGCAAGTGAATTTTTGTCTTGCTCTGTTGAAAGTAGTACATTTAAGGAAGGAATTTTTCTAATAATACATTCTAAACATTTTTTTTTTTGGAGGGAGTAATTTTAGAAATAATTGCAAATTGTATATAATTGGGTCTATTCAGGCTGACCTACTAGACCATCTATATTTTGCATAATAAAAAAGAGAATGCATACCTGGGGATTTATGAATGAAGACTAGAAAGGTCTTGAGTTTTGTCAAAAAGCAGAAATGCCCTTTGAAGTACAGTAATAGAAGCTCTTTATGTCTGCTTTATAGAAAAGCTAATAATACTAGGCCTGAATGATATTTGTGATTGAGTGAATGCATCTATTGTGATTGATTTGCTTTGGAAATCATGTAGACCCTACAAAAGTCAAGAGGGTGTTCACTTCCTTTTTTGATTAAACACTAACTAATATGGTAAGAGTATATTTTCTTTTATAAAATGTAACTTTTTACTCTAGGCATTTATTACAAAAAATAGAAACTAAACTCTGTAATTAACTTGCTTCTGCCTTTATGGTGCAGGCTTTCATTTGGGAACGTTCATTATTTTTAAGTCATTCATGATATATTTTTATAATCTGAATATGTGTTTATATATTGAGAAAGCAAATTAAGAGACAATGAAATATATTTTTCCTCTTATTGCTAGCTATAGTAAATTCAGCTTAATACTGAGCTGTAAGAAATGTACATATATACACATAAATCTTCACTGAATTGTCTAGAAAGAAAATAATGTATATAACATATGAGACTGGGAAATTATCTGATTGGAAAACTAAATATATTTATTCTCCAAGTTTTTATGGCAGGCATAAACATACATCAATTTATATGGCAAATGAGATTGTTTTAGGGGACTTTATTTTAAAAAATTCAACTGAAAAGCTTATGAAAATCCATTAGCTCATGTTATGATGTTATATAAGTCCACTCTAGTTAGAGTGGAATTTGTCAAGAGTCTTGGTGTAAACCTTTACCAAGATGTAAAATTAAAATTTCAGTGAGTTTCTAAACATTAATTGATGAAAGACTGTAAAGGGTAGCTTATGTATTGTTTTAATTATTTAATGAAGCATGAAGTTCATTATGAGGAAAAGTTTTCTCATAGCACAGCGTGTTTTGCTCTATAAAAAGAAGCCTTTACCTACCAAAAAGTTATGGATTTGACCACATAAAATACTTTCTGGACCTTTATGAATTCTGATATTCACAATGCCTTATCATAATATTGAATCTATACAAATATTTGTCTTGAGAAGGTGGTGATGAACCTCAAGTTTTGAATTATTGAGTTGTTATGGACAGCTCTTCAATTATAACTACCAAAAAATTGAGCCTGACACAAGCTGGAAAAGGAATCTGAGGTAGTAGGAAGGGATGAAGGGTGTCCGAGCACTTGGTGTAGTTTCAAGGGCTTTTTTTGTGTCTTTGCTATAAAAAGTATGAGTAGTCCATGAAGCAAGGGTCATAATCCAGATCTCCTTACAATTTGCATTTTAATACTACTGCTACTAAATAATCATTTCAGAATATTGATACCAGGGGTTAGCACAAATGCCCTCTATTTCCTGTTAAATGTTTTAAGGATGTATTTTGGAGGTTGAAAATCTTTTCCCTCATTGAAGCAGAGCTGGATTAAAAACTCCACCTGAATTGGTTCTTTAAAGGTAGGACTTTAGGTATGCATTAAGTTAAAGGTTTTTTTATCAACATAATGACAATTACACTCATAAAGTAAGGCAAATAATTCTTTGTCCAGAAAACACAGTATAGATGTAGTCCAATTTTTATGACACCACAGCAGCATAACTAAATTCTGTGCATTCATAACTTCTTCTTTTGTTGCAGATGCTAAAAAGTGGCGATCCCTTTCAAAGCAGGTGAGCAATAATTCCTGTATGGTCTTGTAACAATACATTTTGATAGTTGATTTCACTTTTAATGTAAATGTAGAGGCAGAGGAGATTTTAATTTCTTCATTTTTGTCACTTCAGACTCAGCTGAATCCAGAATCTCAGATACTTTAGCTGGTGTTCCTGTTTTGTTGGATTTACTGTCTTTCTCAGGCATCTCTCAGTTTCTCCCTCAGTCTATGTCTGACTGCATTTCTTAATGTTTAGGTGAAATAGGTGTATCTCAAAACCTTCTCAGATATTTGTGCTACTCTG